TTGGTATAAGATTCTGACGGTATGATAACCTTGGATAAAAGCATGACGGTTTCACAATATTGTGATAGTGCACTAAAATATGTTCTTTTTAAATGTCTCCGTAAAAAACTAAAGCTTTTTTCCCCTTTGAACCCAATATATTTTATACATTCAAAATATTTTGGAGCAGTAAACATGTCAGGCTAAATAATTCAAATAAATCATTGAATTATGCTGTCTTCATTAGTTTCAAAACACAGATTTCTTTACAATTTAAAATGGCAAAGACTTACTTATACTATAGAAAAGTATAGCAGAAAATTTTGGTGGTTTTAAAACCCTGACTTTTCCAAACAATGGTATACCTTGAAAATGGTTATCATCCGATGCCAAAACCTGTTGCACTAATACATTTAATTTTGGTTTTATTAAAAAAATAAAAAATAAAAAAAACTATTAAAAAAAGAAAACATGTTAAATGAGAATCTAAAACATTTTATGGCATACTTTTAAAGTTTTAGTATTCAAAAATGTTTATTTTAAATATTTATTTAAATAATTTGGTTTTTCACTTCATATTTTCTGATTTGTCATAGTATATGTATTAATTCAGATACTTATACCGTGAAATGACATATCTAACATTTGGTAGATATTTTTTAAAATTGTGGGTTTTGTTGAAAAAAATGCATTGAGTGTGTTAACTAGCAACATTAGGAGTAATGAAATGCAATCCAAATATTTCTTTCTTAGTGGGGCAGTTGATAAAAATAAGACTTGTTCATTGTTAGTTCATGTTAACAGAAGGTGCATTAACTAATGTTAAAAAGCAAGAATTTGGATGTTAATAATGCATTAGTAAATGTTGAACTATAATTAATAAATGCTGTACAAGTATTGTTCATAGTAACTTCGTGTTAGTAAAGACATTAACTAATGAAACCTCATTGCAAAGTGTGACTAATAATTTTAACATCGCCAAACTAGAGTACTATTAAAAACAGCAGATAATCAAATTTTTATATAAAACATAGAATTACTAAATGAATAAAAACTGAATCAGTGTGCTCGGTTCTAATCCAAAAGTGCAAAAAGCTGTTTGTTTGAGCACAAGTGATACATTCAGCAGTGTGGACTTAACAACCGAAAGAATCTCTCATGACAGGGAAGAAGTCGCATTATTTATCCAACTCGTCAAAACTGTCCTATACACCCTCCATAGTACAAATTTATATTTTGCACCACAAATTAAGCAGAAAAACTTCTGGGTGGCCTCTATATGCATTACACCAATAACACAGAGCTCGCTCAGTAATAACACCCTTAGTTTTTAAATTGGCCCTGAACAAAACAGAAAGGAAACTGCAAACAGAGAAACTATTCAGCATTTCAATTATTTCAACCCCTCTTCAGGCCGCATGGAATAATCTAAAGAGCCCTCAAGTACTGAAGTCTTAAGCACTGCAGAGGATTTCATGGCGTTGAGTTCATTAGCAAATGGCAGTGCCTCTCTGCAATTAAAGACAACTGTGCAAACGCTGCAGCCCATGGAAATGTATTCAGACTCTTTACTTTGCCTTCAGTGAGCGTCAGCACGGAGCAAATACGTCATAAACAAGTTACCATGAGCCGGCCAATCGGAAAACAAATTAGCCTACTTTGCACTGAGGCACAAGGAGGTAATAAACATGCCGAAACAAAAGATAAAGTGATTACTCGGACTGCACTAAATCTATTCCTTGGTAAATGTTTGCATTAAAATCGATCAGCCATGATTTCACCCAACTATGTATAACACAAGACAAGAAAAGAAAAAAGTGAAGACAAGAAAAGAACCTAAATCATTCTCATTTGCATTACGACTGGTTTAAACTTTGCTATTGTTGTTTGTAATTATTTTTCAGTATTTTAAAAAGGTCATGCCATGATTTTAATACTTCTGTTTTTTTTATTATGAATGAATGAATAAAATGATTAATATCAGAGAAACACAACCTTGCATTATTTCCTAAAAAACTGTATTTAATTTAAGAATGTATAATCTCATTGATTTAGTAACAGGCATTTACTGTCAAAATGGTGTCATTAAAATCAAAACATTACACTAAGCACTTTTAGATTTTACCTAAAATGAAAAAAACAACAACATTAAAACAATTAAATAACTTTTTTTTCTTTTATTTAATTTAGTACTTATACTATCTTAATTCAGGCACAAATTAATTACTGTTATAAGTCATTATAAGTTAACTGCATGGTAGAGGACCTGTTGTGTTAATATAATAATCAATGATCTTCAAAAGTGTTAGTCTAGAACCAATTATACAAAATAATGAATGTGAAAAGACAGAAAACATAGTTTGGTATAACTCTAAGGCACACACACACACATACACACACACACACACACACACACACACACACACACACACACACACTTCACTGCAGAATCATTGTGTGTATATATATATATATATATATATATATATATATATATATATATATATATATATATATATATATATATATGTATGCACAAAGCTTAAGTTCAATTGCATTAGACAGTAACAACAAACAAAATCGTTAATGATGGTGGCATTATTTAGGCTATTCAATCCTTAAAATTTCTTAACTGTATTTTCAGGGTGAGGACCGCAGGGAAGGGGTTAAATAGTTAGTTCTAACTAGTCTCTCCCCTGTTATGGCACCTAAGGCTCGTATGGCCGCGTTTATCTGCGCAGTTTGAGGGAAAAAAACAACGTGAACCAAACTGGCTGGGCCGCATTCACCAGTGTGTGTGTGTGTGTGTGTGTGTGTGTGTGGGGGGGGGGGCAAGAGAGAGAGAGAGAGAGAGAGAGAGAGAGAGAGAGAGAGAGAGAGAGAGAGAGAGACAGAGAGAGAGAGAGAGAGAGAGAGACTGACTTTTTCACCCCTGAGCTCTGCCCCTCTTTTTCTTCACTCGATACTTGCAAAACAATGCTAAGCTGGAGTTGAGACATTATTGATACGATGCTTCGGTGCGCGGAGGCCGAAAACAGAACAACGCTGGACCACAGAGTTTAATAAATTCTATGTATATTTCTGATTTTCTTATGCTGCAGTATTCCTGCTGGAATAAATTGGCCTTTGAATAAATGAACCGCCTCTCTCCCTCTTGTTAACATTGTTGAGAATTTGCACAATGGAGATTTTTTTTTCCAGTCCAATTCAACTTTATGCCCGAGGGCATATATTAAAAATACATATGGAACGAGATAATGCATGAGCGACGCAAATTCGTTAGGGATGTCACCGCCTAGCAAGCTCGGGACTGTAACCACCATAAATTATATAATAAAATATATGTAAAATACATACTATGGGACCTCAAATGCTCGGTGAAGTTACTTTTAACATTGTTAACCATAAACTGATCAGTAATCATCCACGCATCTAGTTATCCTAAACCTTTTTTTAAGTAGCCTATAAATGTATTTAAGTTTTAAAGCCCTCTTTACTGATTATTTAATTTTAAACAAGTACAATCCTAACCAGCGGCATTAATATTCGATGCGTAACAAAACATAAACAGATTTCTCATATTTGCAAACTTTAGAAAAGTTGGTCAACCTACACCAGGGAATCGGACTTCCATGAACACGTAAACACTTAATTCCTAGCCCTATTATTTAGGCATTAGACGTCATCAAGAAATAAAATAGGACATGTCTTCATCCTAAAGTCAATTAAAGATCTGAATTCGCGCCCTCGAGCAAAACATAAATTGCTCTTATCAAGTTATATACCTGCATACCCAGGGGTCTTCATATAAGCCTAATTTATTTCTATCGCTTAAATTCATCCCTGCTCAAGAATTCATTTATTTGACAAGTGCTATCTCCAATAGAGTTTTGTTAAAAGAGTTATAAACACAGCTGACATTACGCTGTTTAACCCTGCCTTTGAATCAGATGCATTAGGCTATCTGTACAGATCTGCTCATTAGCATAATCATTAATACAGCCGAGATTGAAAAGACTAAAGCAACCTAAGGTCGTTTTATTGGAGTCCCTGTTTGCTAATGAATGAAACAGAATTTTTTTCTCTCTCATAATAAGAGCTGGTGGCCGACGCACTCATTGGAAAGCTACAACTGGTCAATGCTTGATTCGATCACTCAGCCATATGGAAGATGACGGATTTAAATTATTTAGCCTAATCGCTTCATTACTTTTTATGCTGGTGAATCTACTAATCCGCTTAATATGACCTCTTAATTTTTTTTTTGTTACAAATGTGCCTCCCACGACTCATATTGGTAATTAAAAAGATGTATATAATTTTTAAAGCAATTTTATCAACGTTTAATAAAATCAATGAATGTACAAACGTTAATCTAAAAGTATAGTCAAACCAAGTTAAAGATTCTACCAGTAGCTATCGTACAGAAAAAAGCAGCAAAAAAGGCACAGAATTCCATACATTTTCCTACACACACTCACATGCACAGAGAGAGAGGGGGGGAAAGAGAGAATACTGTACTGCACAGTAGTACTCAAACACGAACGCGCACTGCCTATGCTATTCAAAGCACTGAGCAACGCGCGCTCTCGTCTGAGGAAAAACACTGACAAGGCAACTAATGAAGCATGAACAACAGCAGAACACCAAAGCACCAAATCTCTAAATGTCTCCTAAAGATTTGAGTCAATTTGCTTCGCAATAGTAACATATATATGCCATAGATTGTCAAACCATTTGCTTTGATAAAAAAAAGGCAGGCGAGAGAAAAGACGAGGGAAAGGACTAAATTAAAATCGACAAGAAACAGGTCAAGTTTATGGCAATGCTTTCACGAGCTAATCTCCTCGGGTCAGTTCCGGGATCAAACCGTAATGAAGCAATAATGGGCCACATTATTCCAAATTTTTCAATCCGATGGAATTTAAAAGCCTTAATCGTATGCAAATGACGGCGAGGCAGAGAAAGTGACCCAAAAGACGGTCTGAATGGCCAGAAAAGAAATGGACTCCACCACGTACCTGATCAAGGGGCCCCGATGATCTCGTAATTTCTTCACTGTCTGATTTTGATCCTCCTTCTCTGTCGTCTATAACCAAGTCGATGGGCATCTTCCCCTTCAAACAGCTGATGTACCGATGACAAAAATTGTCACAAAGTTCATGTACCTATAGATACAAAGGAAAGCGGGAAAAGAGGGGGGGAAATCACAAAGGGTCATCACAGCGACTTGACAAGTGCATCCAGAACTCTTATTGACATGGAAAACCTCTCCCAGTGGCCTTCTCTGATATCTATCAGACGCATCCAGAATGTGAAATAACTTTACCCCCTTTCAAAATAAAGATATCGCAGAAAATTGACACTGACAAGACGACTCACGGGCTGCACCGTATTCAACACCCGTGTTAAATTCATCTGCTCCCGGGGTTGTGGCCATTAGAGAGATGACCTGCTTGACTGACATTTAAGGTAAACTGTTTAATTTCGTGGAGTTATTTCATTACCACCTATTTACAATGGAATAATATGACATTCGGTGGCGACGGGAGAATTTTTCATTTATGGCCGAATGATCGTACTATCGCTTTGCCATGTTATCTCAGCACAAATAACCCTAGATGCTCATGCAAATATCTAGAGACTTGGAGCCAGTAGTTATGATGTGTATTTAGTACTGTAATGCTATATGGTTTGGTGATAAATCACTTGATAGGCCCACTCTAGTCGTGGAAACAGGTGTTGATAAAATTCCTCCAAAGTGTACTGCTGATAACAGATAAGCGCACAAAACGTGCCATCAGCGTGGTCGACTTTATTCGGCAATGTGATTTTCGACGTCGTTTAAAATAGTCTGAATTATAATAATTAATTAAAAGTAAAACAGGAAGGAAAACCTCACTACAGTGTTACATAGCACAACAAGCAAAGAAACATGGAAATTACTGCTATGAAATATCTGTGGCCGTGGTAGCAGGTTGTATTGTAATTAAACACGAGGAGAAATAGGCAGCATGATTGATTTTGACACTAATTACAACAGACTAGGAAAAATACATTTATGCAGATGAGGCCCATAGGTTTGAAAAGAGGACCGGCCAGTTGGGGTAAATTTTTACCTTTTCGAGCTCCAAAAGATGAAACCGTAAAACTTGAATGGCTTGAATCATCTGGGGAAAATTAACAAACAGAGAAAAAAAAAAGTTTACTTTAATTCTGACGAAAAAAACAGGAACATGACAAATTCATAATTCAATTTCATTGTTTCACAACTAATCGATCTATAAATTTTAAAGTCATTAATGCCTTGATATCACTTTTTATACAATGCAATGCAATTAATCAAGATTATTTTTAGTTTATGAATAAATGATCACTCTATCTCACGTGTTAATAAGAGGGACGTGAGAGGGACCTGTCCCCGTCGATGTTTAAAAATATTCTGAATTAAAAATTCAGCCCATGTCAAAAACAAAAATAATCAAACTATTTTGTGTAAAGAAAACTTTTTGGATATTTAAATAATTAAAATAAGTTTTAGATTGGAACTTTAACAGGCAAAATAATAGCAATGCTAATAATTGTAAATATAATAATACACTCACCAAATTATCCAGCTCAGGATTTGACGAAAATAGCGGCTTTTCTGCTCGAATCTGAGACGATATGCATGTAAATAATTAAAAATTGTGAGAAAAAAAAATAGTTCTTAAAAAAAACACAAAATCTATTTAAATGCGTTGCTCAAACATTGTTTTTTTAACACATGTAGGCTATAAAGATTTCCAGTTACAAAGAGTATGTAAACGCAACAGTAAAAATGTGCAAAAACTTTTTGCGGAATAAATCAGTTTCTGACCTGTTTTGCAAACACTGCTATATCCTCATTGAAAGACTCTGATGAACACACATCGCCCCCAGCAACACCGGGTTCTCTAGGTGTGCAAGTGGCTAATTCACATTTCTCAAAAATCAGTGCTAGAAGAGGGAACAAGGGGTGCCTGGAATAAAAGAGTATAGAGGTCAGTTTGAGGGAAACTCTGGATTAACATAACTTTTAATAACACTTCACAACTCATTCTAATTGTAAAAGGGGTCAGTTCTGAAACCTTTACTGCAATCTGATTTGTAATTGAAAAGTTAAGATTTCATAAACTAAATATGATTTATGTCAGTAAACAAAAAAAAAAAAAAACACTTGCGTACCCTTGCGCCACGTTGATAGCAATTGCTTGTTTACACGTATATGCTCGTGTTGATAATTTAGTTGTGACATTAATTATAACAAGCTTGTTACTTGTGCGTACACTGTATCAAATCACTTGCAACTTGAATTCCTAAACGTATTATCAAAGACAGCGGTCAATATGAACTGCGGACTACAAGGTCAGAGCACCTAAAATGCTCAAGTTGAGTCTAGGCCAAGCGTGCAATTTAACCATGGTTCAAATAGTGGACCTAGATCTCGTGTAAATGTTAAGGGACGCATCTAATCCATAATGAATGAGAGGAAGTTCTATAGCTTGTTACTGCGTATAATCGCTGTTTTCAACGGCAACAGCGTTTATACACAGCGCTGTGTGCAGCAGCTTTTGTATGTTATGCGCATTTGGAGTTACACCGCACATCCAGATATATTTATACATTTTTAATTCGAGCATTTGTAAAATAGTCCTTGTAGTTCAGTGTTCATTTTAATTTTCTTAAGAATCACTTAGCTGTCTAAATGTGTTTTTTATGTCTCAAATAACTAGGTGTTAAGTGTTGTTAAAAAGTTGTAAATGTAACACACATATGGATGTTTCATGAGAAACGATGTTTTATAAAAAATACAATACTTAGCAAACAAAATATTATAGTAGTAAACTACTAAATAGCTTGAATTTTGAAAATCATCAACAACAAAAAATATATACAACCTATTTATCAACATATAGAGACAAAACGGACAAAGCAAACATTTTAAATGATTAACTAATCTAAACAAGAAGAACAAAAAATATTTAAAACAAAACAAAAACTTAGATTAAACAGTAATGGCGCCTCGAGTTTTCACAAACTATTACGAGTCCAATAATGTGTTATTGGCAAACTTCATCATAAAATATATGTCTTGGCTATCTACACGTACCCGTAAATGGAGTCTTTATCTCTTTTTAGAGCGTCATTGACGGATGAGCCCATGCTGGGCGGCATGGCGTTGGTGTGGGCTGTGTGCGGGTACTGGTGGGAGTGGAGCTGGGGCCCGTGATTCAGGTGAACAGCCTGCATGGATCTGGCGGCGTGCGGGTCCCCGTACATCGTGCTCGGGATTCCTACTCCGTCCATCCCATAGTGGGGTATATCTTCGTACTGCACACACACGAATGGCAATATTCCCAGGTTGTCACTTTTTTTTTCCACTTACAGAATGCATAAAATATACACTGAAAGAAAATATAAACTGGGTCTACTTTAGATGTTCCCAGGGAAAAAAACTACGACTTTTGCGAAATGAAAACACTTTGTTTTGGTGTTAACTAAATATGTAAGCGGTGTTTTGTGGTTGTAACACTACGTGCAAACATGCTATTTATTGCAACAAAAAACTAGCATGTTATTTTTTTAAATTAGACTGAAACAGGGAGATTTAGAAAACAGTGTCCGGCATATGGAATAATGCTTTATTGTGATCATCACAAAACATGACGAGTAGCACAACATAGTTGTGTCCCTATTATTTTCATTTTTATTTCCACAGTTCAAACTTAAGTTATAGGTAATGTAGTAAGCATGTAATAACTGTGTAATTTATTGTTGATTATATTGTTGTCAAACTATACTTATTTTACGCATTTTAAAATATAATCACACGTAGCAGGCTACTTTTAGAATTAGTTTAATTAAATTCAAATTTACATTGTTCATCCGTGGCTTTTAAATGAAATATTTGATTAATTTATTTCGAATAATGTATCAGTGACACTTTAATACTTAATCATGGTCGTTATTTTAAGTTTTATTACACTGTTTAGAAAGTCTGATGATGAAAACATTACATCTGCCTTCTAAATATACAGAGGTGTTAGCAGGACAGCAGGGTGCTGTTATAGTTTTACCATCAAAAGCAAAAGGTCGGAGGGTTGCGATGAAATCTACTTTGTGATTGTTTACTTTTGATTACAAATGCAAAGAAGTCGCCAACTAGTAAATGTCAACTTTACAAGTCGAAGCGCACAAGAGTTTCACTCTAATGCTGTTTGAAAGTATTGTTATTACACAAAATTGAAAAATAATACGGCTAAATAAATTTTGCGTCCTATTAATATTCCTGCATAGTATGTTATCATAACAAGCATTATAATAACTTTTATTAATAGAGCTGACTTGTTCAAACAGCTAGTTTAATTTTTATTTTAAATGTTTCTGCTTTATGAAAAGATTAAATAAACGCGTACTGTAAAAACTGGCAATAGTTTATAAAATTAGGAATGCTCCCTGTCAAACTTAATTAGAGAGTATCATTTTCCCCCTAAATTGACATACACACACACACACACACACACACATACACACACACACAAAACACTATACACAAAGGGGTGCATGAAAGTGAGCGATGTAAAGTTGAATGTGAAAACTAGAAGTCAAAGGAAGAGAAAGTTTGACTGCGAGGCTGTCATCGGCCACGTTTCAGTATTTCCAACTGCATTCAACAATACGGAGTCGAAGAAACTTTTCGGGATACGTACCCTCTGCGCCATCGCCCTCCACACTCCCTCGTCTTCCTTTAGTCAAAAATATATCCCCTATGAGGCCAGGGTGAATGGGAAATAAACACGCAAATTCCAAATGTGGGATATGTTTTGCCCAAAAAATCCAAATGCCTGTTTCGAGCGAGCGATGTGAAGCCAGTCCTTCACCGCAAGTTCAGCCAGACGCGTTCAGCGATAGGTCCCCTTCGCGTTCTTTCCCCTGGACAGCGACAAGGATCGAGCAAAATCTTCTTTTCCAAAGCTGTATGAAAATAGCCCCTCAGACAAAACTAACGCATCTCATGGCTTTTTGCCACTCCGGCTGTCAATCAATCAAACGCGAGCTTGTCAAAGTGCTGAATGAATGATGATCCTCCGCGCGCTTCCACTGGTTAGCACCCCTAACGAGAATACTACTCAAATGCACAAAAATGAAGCTCTCTCTCGTTTCTTTGATCACTCTCGGCTCCTGAGTTGATTTTTTATGCAATAGCTTCTAAATGAGATCAAGAGGAGGTGGGCTGATAATTCTGGCTTAGTTTTTCTTAAAGGAGCCACGATCGATGCTGCGAGCTGCCTTTCCCCGTTTGTGTACAATGAGTGTGTGTTGAACGCGGCTCAGCAGCTGAATCTGGACCAGACTGCTGAAACCCGGAAGTAGTGGTGGCCATAACAGGTCGCGTCTTGCACAATGCGATGGGCTACATCAAGTTCCTGCTAAAGCAGGGGGGTGAAATGTGTGGGACGCAGAAAAGCGCAGACCACTTCCACGATTCAGCACGAACCGAGGAATAACACGCAGAGACCGCGTTGTGCTTTTGGTTGTTTCCCTTGGATAGCAATGCGTGCGTAATGCACGCCAATGCATACAATAGTAGTCTAACCTTTATAAATCATTACATAAAAACATAATGATAACAAAGGGAGCGTGGACCCATTCTCAACATCGCTTATGTTTATTATAAGCTCTGATATGGGTATCCGAAATGGAGAACGCTAAACTATTTACAATAGTAGAGAAACTTGGATACCCTTTTTAAGGTGCGTAATTAAGTTTCCCCATACGTTATGTGTGTACTTTTACGCGAAAGCCCTTGCAAATGGGATGTTCTGCACTAATAACACGAAATATTGTTTTCACAACATGTCTATATACTTCACATTTCACGCAAACATCATTACTCGGGAACAGCATACGCTGTACTTCAGCGGTGATGTGCCGCGCTCTCAGCCGAAACACCCCCGCCATTTGTGAATGGGCTCATCCACTTACTGTAGGATCTTAGGAGTTTGGTGCAGTGTCCAATGAAAGTGTGTTACAGTGAATCAAGCCATCTATTGGTGCAAAGAATGATCAATCATTAATTTATCGGTTGATATGCTTCCATAAATGAAGAAAGGGTGGAATGAAAATATTGTAATCTGGAGGGAAAATGTAGTCTCCATATTCTGTTTTGTCTATTCTAATGCTCACTCTCTAGCACAGTCATTCTCTATCTAACACACATTGTAGCCACTGACACAATTATTTTTTTCAAGATATAAAAGTAAATGTTTGTTTTAATATTCTTATTTGTGTATATACATGTGCAATTTGCAATGTTTAGTTTGTGCCTCTCTATCAATATTTATAATTAAACTAGTGGATACAACTTTTACCATGCATTTTAATGCTAGTGTGTACGACCTTTTACGTTAACATTTTGGAGAGGTCACTTGTGCTGAGTTACATTTAAAGTACAAGCCCCTAAATAAATCGAGATGGTTGTTTTATGAATATTACATCTTCCATAAAATGCTATAAGAGGCTTTAAACAAAAACTGATTGATGTAGTCTGAAGCGCTCCATTGTGGCCAATACAACTGACCCGGTGACAAGGTGTATGAAGTTTGTCAGAGGAGCATCTGTCATCGATCAGAAGCGATTAATGCGAGCAACAGTGTCTTATCAGCTGCCGTGAGCATCACACGACCCCCGTTTCCCGCAGAAGAGCAGCGACAGGATCCGGCGCGCACATTTACAGGCATGAAATTACTATCAAATCCCCAAAGCGCTCGGCAAACCAAGGGTGCGCGCTGCGCGGGCGACGGATCTGATGTGGACTTAAACACAAATGAAAGAAGGATTCATGCAACAGATATATTACAGATATACGACTAGAACCACAGATAAACACGCACGCGTTTGTCGGTAAGTAGTTGCACTGTTTATCTTAAGAACGTCTCCAAACAAATATATAGTTTTAGTTTATCTTAATTACTGTTCATTAAATATGTCTAACAATTTCACCTAATTATGTACGTAACAACATATAATGAATTGGATGTACATTGAGTAAACTTATTTGTTTTATTGATGTTTGTAGTCTTAACAATAGTTTTGCGTTTGTCTCAATTATGTGAGAAGCAAACGGGATGACATGAAAGCTGTGCTTACCCAAACGCTTAACTGCTGTCACAGAACCAGAATAGCATTATAAAGTAATTAAGTTCCTTCAATTAGCATCTATAAAAGGACGCTATAGAGCACAATGAGGGCATGGACTTTCACTGTTTAGGTTGCCTTTTAGTGAGGGTCAGCAGATTGCACCACGCATCACCGAGTTAATGCCATCATTTAGGATAATTTGGGCTAAGAAAGAGATGTGAATCATTGAACGTAAAATCAAAAAGAAAGTCTAAAAACAAGTCCGAAATTTAACCGAGTGAATTGAACTGAGTGCGACTGATGCATTATAAACTGAAAAAGATGGAGCATATGCATCACTGAGAAAAATTGTACAACTTTACGCAAAGAGGTTGAGTTTATTTCAAAGTGTTTGAATTTGGCTTAATTTGAGCAAATTAATTTAATATTTAGATATAAATACACCAAATTATATAGCTAGGAACAGCTAGTATGTTGTACATATAAGTTAGAGTATGAAGTACCATATACAATATATATTTTTTGTATTAGTGTCATCCCGACAATTCGGCAGTTTCATCTACCAGACACAAAATTTAGCTTTAATCTAAAAAAAACAAGAACGCGTGATGCCATCTAGATGTTTAATGCAAGAATGTTCCCATTCTGCCTCAATATTTGTTATTCATTTGAATCTTTCTCTCTCTAAGTCGCTATTGAAAGCAACATGCCGCTGTGGTTCAGAAGTCAAACGGAGGTCATCCTTTATATCCCCCCGCAGCAATCCGCGACCAGGGGCCAGTCAGCAGTGAACCCTGCCTTCTCCACTACTGACAACTGCCTGAAACTTACAAGACTATCGGGAATGGGTAAGACGCGCTGGGATAAAACAGCAGGCTATAACTTTTTTCTTGATCTTGCCACTGCCTGGTTATAATGCTCTTAGTGTGTTTCAAGTGTTTGCAAAATGCGCAGTGTGTGAATATACAAAATCTCCTAATCGGTAAGCTATTTATTTATTTGACTTTACTTGCGTTTTCCAATCCAAGTGCAGCAGAGACGTTTTTCAACAATTACTACAATTAAAATAACACGAGATAAACAGTATTTACTATTGCGGGGAAATTAAATTCATCACCTCGACAGCTTTATAAATGTACCGTGATTACAAAACTCTCGCATAAAAGAAAACTTTTAATAGTTCATAAATAGGCCTATTCGAGGCTACGTGAACGTGTTCTGCGTCCAGATATTTTAAGTAGGCTACAACTTGTGAGAAGATTTAAAAATGCCAAATTACATATATTACAGGTGTAGTTAAAGTTGGAGTATTTGGGCTCTTAACTTTTGGTTGTTGTTGTTGAAGCATTTTAAATAAACCAAATAATGCGCTGTGTTGACAGTTAAGATTGTTTATTTTACGCTTATTTATAGTCATATTTAGATTGAATATTTACATATATATTTTATAAGTCTGTGTTTTTTATATAATTTCGCATTGTGCTTTTCTGAAAGTGCACTATTTTGTTATTTTATTTAGCTTGACATTGTTTTGATTTCAACATACTTTCCTTAAGAAATACACTGCAGGACAACTGAATCTGCATTAGTGTACACTAATACACGAGATCTAAAAGAAAAATATTGCATATTTTGTCATATGCAAAGGCTTGCAGTGACCTGTATGCTTGATCATGTGCGCCTTCTACTGGAAACATAAAGAATTATTTTCCTTTGTTACTTAATGAGAGACGTTTCTGTCATAAAAGAAACAGGCGAATTGCATTCAAAACATACTGCGCCGCTTCTAAATAAAAGCTCCAATTATTAGTTTGTTAATTATGATAATCAATTATGAAAGTTTAAGTAACGGAATTTGCATTTCAAACTATTTGACAAAGTAATATTTTGATGACGGCTCATTGATAAATCCGTCAATGGTTAATATATGGTAACCTGTACGCTTATTTGTCTTAAATATATATTCCTCAAGTACGTAAAACGCGCTGAACTGTTTATCAATGAAGCACGAGATGAGACTTTACATAGCTTTTTCATTTAGTATATGTGTAATAATTTTTGTGATTAACAACACTGAAGACCGATCGTCAGAAAATGTCTCATTTGTCCAGTTTTTACTGAATTAATTAGGCTAGTAAAAATCAAGTAACTTAAATTAACTTATTAATGTTTTCTGCGTACTTTTGATTATCCTGTTACTGACAAAAAAACAATTAGGAACAAGTGAAAGAAACTCAAATAAGACAATTAATTAAAAGAAAAAAATATTTATAATAATAATAATATAAACCGTGCTAGATGTAAATAAATCAAAATGAATATGATTAAAAGTCATGTCTCCGTTAAAATGAACAAAAAATGAACCACTGAAGACGAGAAGAGTCAACATCACTTTACAAATTACTATCTTCACAATTTACTATCTTACATTAAACTTTCAAAAAATAGATTAGTTGAATTTACTATAGGGATTCCCGTTTTTTTTACAGCTTGCAATAGCAGCTTATCAGTGAAGCATAAAGAAAAGCACTTCAGAGAAATCAGTGTGTTGTTACATGTATGCATCTGGCCTACTGAATATGTAAGGGTGTTGTTCAAATGTTATCAATGCCACTATCACTGCAAATGTCAGAATATGAGAATAAATTTTAAATCAACACACAAATATTGTACTGTCATTTTTAAAACATGATTACTAACATGAAGCTTATGAAATTTCACATACTGTATGATGATTTCTGAATTTGTCAGCTTTCCCTTTTGACACAGTTGGGATTGGAAAATCCTCAGTCTGAGTCTCTGAGTGTGCTCTCTCTCTCTCTCCCACCCTTTCTCTTGGTCTATCAGCTATAAGTGCCAAAACATTTGTCACTTGAGTTATTATTTCAGGTGTGCTAATGGGCTCAGAGCCACGAGAGAGGAGGAGAAAGTGGGAGAGAGAGAGAGAAGGAGAAGAGAGAAGGGGGGGGAGAGTTTGATTAGTGTGATTTCATTTGACCGAAGCCTGGCCACAGGCTGGCAGAGCCCAGAGGTGAAAAGAGTTGCCCTCACCGAGAGATAGCGAGAGGGGGAGAAAGAGTACGGGAGTGAACCGTGGAGGTTGTGGCGCCTGAGCCAATCACAAAGTGCAGGGATGAGTCTCACACCTCAGGAGGAGGCTGTGAATTGATCAGCACCTTTGAGAGAAAGAGAGAAGAGGGAAAAAAAGGGGAGGGTGGCGGCGAAAGAGTGCTTTTGCGGAGGACGTGTGAAGACCCATATATATTCGTGCAAGGACACAGGGAGAGCCAGGCCTGGGCTCAGAGTATACCAGCACACACTAATGAGCTCTGTCTGTGCACGCCGAGAGGGTGTCCTAATATTAAGACCATCCTTGAGGGCCGGGCCATGCAGTGTACGTCGTGTACTTCATCACATCTGCTTTCTTGCATTTGTGTTTTTTTTTCTTATTCTTTTCTTTCTTTCTTTATTATTATTTTTTTGATGTACTGCTCAAGACCACTAATTTCAAATGAGTACGAACTGTAAAAACTATTGATCCAGTGACCTAAAAACAACCATACACTCTAAAAAAGGGAGGGTTCCACACAGTTCATTCAAGTTGTCCCAACTCCAATCGATTAAGGTGACTTAATTGTTGAATTAATACAATGTTGTTGTATACAATTGTTTAATACAAATTTAAGTTGATTGAACATGAGACAATTAAGGTGTCCCAAAACAATTTCAAGAACTGTGTTGATTTAGCTCGTTTTAAATTTGAACAAACAAGGGAAAAAATGAGTGTAATAAGTTTCCAAGACTGAATGTCTAATAGACTGTAAGAAAATGTTACACACAATTCATTCACGTTGTCCCAACACAAATTGATTAGTCATTCATTCATTTTCCTTCAGCTTATTCCCTTTATTTTTCAGGGGTCGCCACCACAGCGCAATTAACCACCACAAATTAAGTTAACTTAATTCTTTTTTACAATTTAAGTTGATTGAACATGAAACAATCACGTTGTCCTTAAACAATCTCAAGAACTGTGTTGTTTCAGTTCATTTTAAATAAGTAGCATGGAAAAACAACAAGTAAGGAAAATAAATGTTTGAGTGTAATAAGTAGTATTTCCAAAACTGAATGTCTTATTACACACTGTGAACAGTCAAAACAACTAAATGAATAAAGTTAGTTTAACTTATAATGTTTACAATTTTGACTCAATGAAAAAGAGTTATCGTAACACACGAATGACTATATTAAGCAAAACTCAAAACAAATGAGTCATGAATTAATTAGTTATATTTTTTGTGTTAACTCTAAAACTAGAAGCAATACCAAACCATTTGAGTAGCTATACACTGTAGAACCGTAACAGAACAGTAATCTTTATCAAATGAAATGAGTGTAGTTAACTCAAAATTTACTGAAAGTTATTTCTACTCATTTGAAAAGAGTTTTGAACTCGGTTGAAGGTAATGAGTTAATTAAATACCTCATTACTCAAACATAAATGGAGTAAGTTCACAGTACTCAAATAGATTCATATTTTTAACTCATAGTCATATAGTTTACAGTACTCAAACCACTTTGTTTCAAAATTTAAATGGTGTGCCACAATCCTTTCCTTAAACAGCTTTATTTAACTTTCCTTATCAGGTTTTACAGTGCACTGTAAAAAATGCTAGGTGCCACAAAATTCATTCACGTTGTCCCAACACAAATTGATTAAATTACCATATTTTATCATTTTTTTAACAAATTTAAATTGACTGAACAGGAGACAATTAAGTTGTCCTGAAACAATCTCAACAATTGTTTAGATTCAGCTCGTTTTAACTAAGTAGTTTAAATGTGCAGCAAAAACATTGTTTGAGTGTAGTTGGAGTTACGTCAGGACAAGGAATGAAATTTTAAGAAATTATTTATTGCAAGATTTGGAGAGTAAGACTTCTTTTTTCTTTTTCAGAGTTGGGTTGATTTAAATAATGTCAAATGAGTCTGTTGGTTTATGTCTTCGTAGCTTTGAACCATAATATGTTATATTGGTAAGCATGTGTGGACCTCCTAATCAAGCATTTTACTAAAACTGTTTGTTAAAATTGTTTGAAAATAGGGTATAAGCAGAAGTATGCAGAAGGACTTTTAATTTTGCAGTAACCTGGATTGAACGCTTCCCGTGTATGCAGTAAGAAAGTTGGCGCATATAAGGTCTGTTTTTCTTTTTAAATCAACAAACTCTATTGCCTGACTGATATTCAATAAAAACAGGATCTCAGATTGTACAAGAAGCACTGCATTAAATTATATTTCATGCGCTATGTCTATAAATATAAACTTTTTTTTTTACTCAAGTATTTTCAATAGCATTTCTGTCCTCGTCTACAGATCCTGACATGCGCGTGCATGTAAACAGCTTTTCATCTTGGTTTACGCTTCAACAACTAAATTAATGCTGAAGTCAATTTAACTGATTATATTTTAATTATATTACAACATCAATCCTGTAACAGGAACCATAAAATATTGAAGAAAATTACAATGACCATTCACTGGAAGTTTTTCGATATGGGAAGAAACATTATCTGTGCATGTACCCTATTTATTTTGCTACTACAGTTTTACACTCATACATGTTGATTGATAGCATTGAAGCAAAATGTCTCTTTACCTTTCAAAAATCCATCCATACTTCTTGTCTGTTTATTTATTTAGCTAGTCTATCTGGCAAAGTAGTAAATACATTTAACTAACAACGCATTTGATTAAATGGAAAGTTTAAAGTTTACAACTACAAATTCAGTTTGTTAAACCATGTGGATGGATGATTATTAAAAGGACAGACACTTTTATGTACAGACAATTTTACTGTATTGAAATTGGAGACACCCATGAGTACAAGATGTATCATCAATATTTGTGGTAATAATATTTTCATCATATCATTATATTTTATTATTTAATGTGTCTGTCTACTGAAATGTTTTTAATAGAAAACCAAGTTAATTTATCAATTGCTCTCTAGATAAGAATGCCCCCTCCACAAATAAATCAACTAAACTATTAGGATATTAAGATAAATTGCAGACTCACAAGTCATAGTTACATACACTTGTCTGTTTGTATATTTGCATTCACTACTTACTGCTTTTTTAAATATATATTATCTGTATTTTGCCCTGTCTTTGTAATTCTGTTGCACTGTAGAAGCTCTGTCACGAAAACAAATTCCTCGAATGTGCGAACATACCTGCAATAAAGCTCTTTCTGATTTCTGATTTTCTGATTTTAGTTGTCTCTAAAATGATTTTAAAAAGATAGTTTACCCTAAAAATGAAAAGACTCCCATCATACTCAGCCTTCACTCAAACCTATTTGAGTTTCTTTTATCTGTTGAACACATTGAAAAATGTTTAGAAGAATCCCGGCAGCTGACACCCACTGACTTCCATAGTAATTTTCAGATCATTTATTAATTTTTGGGTGAACTATCCTTTTAAGGTCACTACACAAACATTCATTTATTTTGCTTCAGCTTGGTCCCTTTATTACTCTCTAAAATATTTTTGTTACTTGTTCAAGCTATTTATTTAACATGAGCTGAATCAACACAATTCTTTAGTTTTTTGGTAACAAATAAATAGTTTTATTTTCAATCCACTTAATTTTGTAAAAACAATTAAGTTATCTTAATCGATTTGTGTTGGGACAACAAGAATAAATTAGGTGCAGCAAGATTTTTTTTACTGGGTATTAGGGGGGAACACACAGACATTCATTCATTAATTTTCTTGTCGGCTTAGTCCCTTTATTAATCCGGGGTCGCCACAGCGGAATGAACCGCCAACTTATCCAGCAAGTTTTTACACAGCGGATGCCCTTCTAGCTGCAACCCATCTCTGGGAAAAAACACACAGTTAAAAAAAAAAAAAAAAGAATAGTAGTCATAATACTACTATATTGGTATATAAATAATGATTAATGATATGACGTGGTACTAATATTTAACAGCTAAACTTCAATAATCAATGAGCATTAAGGGAAGAGTGAAATGTATGACTACAATGTAATAGTTTAAGATGAGGTGTTTGGTGATGAGTATCATGGGGAGGGACAACAATTTAGGACCAATCTTGGGCACGCCCATATGTACAATATGAGTCATGAATAACTTTGGATCTGTTTTTAATTGGCCTGTGGGTTTAATTAGACTAAGAATATTACCATAGAGAATATAAATGCCATCAAATAAGCCAGAAAAGTTGCTTGACAGAGATTTTTTTCAGCACATTTCTGAACATAATAGTTTTAATAATTCATTTCTAATAATTGATTTATTTTATCTTTGCCATGATGACAGTACAAAATATTTTACTAGACATTTTTCAGGATACTAGTATTCAGCCTAAAGTAACAATCAAAGGCATACTATAGGTTAAATTTATGGTAATTAGGCTAATCATTGTATAACAGTGGTTTGTTCTGTAGACAATCAAAATTAAGTGTTTAAGGGGGTTAATAATATTGATCTGAAAAATAGTTAAAAAATTAATGAAACAAAATAAAGCGAAATTGTTGATAAAATAATAAATAATTATCATTTATTAAATCATTTTTGCAGTCAATTGTATATTATTTCAATGCTAATAACCTAGAGGTCTTTTTTTAACCTG